CCCCCCCCCACACACACATGCATGCAAACAAGGGACAAGTTGCAGAGAAGCCTGGCCTGCATTTTAAAACATCATGTTTACAGTACAAAAGGAATCCAAATAAAAGGAGAGGATAGGCAAACCAAGGCAGATAACTGCTGGGGAGAAGGAGGGGCAGGCTCCTCTCTCAAGTGACCCCTCTGGGGGGTGGCGAATAGGGCTGTGGAGTGCCTTCTCCTTGGATTCAGGTCTGTTGAGCGGAGCACATGGTCTCCTAGTGTAGACTCGGGATTTGTTGGTCACTTATTTGTTACTAGCAGGAGCCGAGAGCAGGAAACAGAACCTTTTATGCCACAAGCAGACCTCCTCCGACTTGCTGGCTAGGGGCACAGTGACCTTGGGCAGAGGTCACTGCCGGATGGCCCATCAAGTCAGACAGGAGGAGTCCTGGGAAGTCAGAACTCCCCACCTTCCTCTTCTGTGGGAGGCCAGGCCCACCTAGGTCAGGAAGAGGAGACTCCTCCAGACACATCCAGGGGTTCCAGATTCCTGCAGCAGGGCCGGGCGGGAGTAGTCCCCTTTGATTTTCCAGCGTGCACAGTACTCAGGATGCTAGAAATTATTACAAGCTGTCTTGTCCTTGTCACAAACTATGGGTGTTTTCTTACTGTGCTCTAAAATCCCTTCATTCACTTCCTGTTATTATTTTTTATTTTTAATTGTAATACTATTGTTTTACTTTAAACATGTATCTTGGTTTCATTGTTAACTTTTAGTATTTTGAAGTCAAAATGTTCTTTCCATCCCACTCAGGCTAAGGGAAACGATCATTTGACTTGTTTGTGTGCAGGTTTTTTTTAAAATGTGTTTTATTTTCTTAAAAGAATGGGGTGGGGGAGGGGGAAGCAAATGCCAATAATCCCAGGAGAATGACTCGAAAGCGACTTTTCTTTGTCATTGCAGTAGAAAGCCAGATAAATATCTATTTTTTTTCCTGCTTCAGGTCAGAAACCCTTCCCTTGTCAAAAATGCGATGCCTTCTTTTCTACCAAATCTAACTGTGAACGCCACCAGTTGCGCAAACATGGAGTTACCAACTGTTCCCTGAGAAGAAACGGGCTTATTCCCCAGTCAAAAGAGAGTGATCTTGGACCCCATGATAGCACAGGTAGTGCTTCCAGGTGATGGAGAGGAGAGGGACAGAGGAGAGCCCATCGCTTAGCCCCGCTCACCTTGGTTAGCTTCCTAGCGAGCTCCGGCCCCCGAGCGTGAAGGGGCTGCCTTCCCAGCTCCCCGTAGGACTCCAGTCAGGAAGGTGGGCCCTGCCCAGGCTGCGGGCACGCACGGGGGGTGTGGGGACGCCGCAGAGCCCCTGGGTGGCTGTGCTGAGCTGCTGGGGAAGATCGGTGGCCCTCCAGCAGACCCCTTTGTTCAGGCGTGGGCCTGCTGGAGGCGGGACATGAGGGAGGGTGTACAATTTCAGCTCTGGTAGCAGCACATCTCAAAGGGATGTGAAACCTTCAAGGCTTGGGGTGTTGTTTTCTCCGGCCGGGGTTCTGCCCAATCCTATGGAGCAGGGATGGGCTACACAGATGTCAGGGTACTGCAGGAACTAGGGATGCCCAGCCCTCGACTGGGAGCGGTGGGGTGTTTTTCTTTTCAATAACTCTCTTCCCAGTAAAACAAAACTTTGTCTTGTTTGAAAAAGCACTCTGCATGTCCTTTCCTTAATCACATCTCTGCTTGACTGAATCCGGGTATTCTCCTGTGCTGATATGCGCTTCCTTCCTCCAGCCCCCCACAGAGCAATTAACGCTGCCCAGTGCGCCTCCCGCCACCTTTTTCCCCCTCACAGCTTCTGCATTTACTCATGTCTTCTACTCAGTACATTTATCATCTCCAACTACTGGGGTTTGGCACCCCTCGTCCCCCAAAACTAAAAAAATTAGCTGCTGCAGGTCACTTAGACACACAGCTAGCTGGCCATTGGTTAATAACAGTCTTACAGGTATGGATTCAGTTCTGCAAATCTTGAAAGCTTGACATTCCCCCATTGCTTGAAGCAGGTGACAGTTCCCAAAAATGTATTTTTCTAGGGTTGTGATTGTGTTCTATGCTTCTCTCCCTCAGACTTTGATGAGGATGGGGTGCTGTGTTGTCGGGGAGTCCCTTGCCCCTGTCAGTGTGGACTAGAGGGTGAAGCTTTCATACCAGGTCCCCTTAGCCTTAGCTTTTACTGAGGTGGGGGCGCACGTGGATGGGTAGCTTATCCAGGAAGAGAAGATTTGATCCGGACCCTCTGCTTTTTCCCCACACCTCCCACCAAGCCCTAATGAAACGAGTCCTTGAACTGCCAGGCCCTCTGGTTAAAATCCACCCCACTAAGGGTATTAAAAATGCGGGTCAGTTTGCTGGCTGCACCCATAGCTTCCATTCCCACATAATTTGCCAAGATCTTTGAGTAAAAAAAGATGGGGACTCCCACGGAATGCTGCCATGACTTGGGTCCCTTGAGCCAAAGGTGGTGGACCATCTGCTGGTCAACCCCCAGGAAACCACAGCGACACTGGCAGAACTCGAGTTTGCTGCAGAGGATGACTCTCAGTGCTTAGCAGTGGGTGCTGCGGGACTGGGGGGAGGGGGGCAGCCTGGTTTAGAACCAGCTTCTACCCGGTGGTCCCATAGGAGAGAGAGGAGGGGATAAGGGAGGTGGTCGAGGGGTGCCCTTGGTTTTGGAGTTTGCAGGTCTGAAAGTGTTATAACGAGTGCCGGGTGCACACTGAGCTCACCGGGGTCGCACTGAGGAACCAGCCCTGGGATTCCTGCCATGAGGGGCCGCCGTGGAAGCCTGCACACACCAGCTAATCAGAGTTTATGTCTTAGCTTTGTTCAGCACCAGGTTTTACTCAGTGGGTGGGTTTAGTTTTTAAACCTGCAGTTAAGAGTTTTGTTTTTCCAAGTCCTCTCAGAGTCCTTCCTCACCTCCGCGCTGTAGGTTTTCTCTAAAGGAAAAAGCCTCTGGAAAAAGAGAATTCACTGAGAGTTGTAATGTGAAACCAGCAAAGAGAAAATACATGTTTGGTTTAATTGTGATCCCAGACCTTGCTGAGAAAGAGGGCCGAGATTGAAGAAGGGGAGGGAAAGGGTTGGGGAGGTGGGGCTCAGTGACTTCAGGGAGAATTTTTAAAACCAGGTGAGCATAATGGCGGGGTGACAGTTTCCTTCGGGCTCTCCCTCCCATGAAGTCACAAGCAGGGCCTTAGAGGAAGACCATAAAAAAACAAAGGCAGGAAATGACCAGGGAAGTTCTTGAGGGGTTTTCTAGGTTTATATGCCTGGGTTGCATTTTCTTAAAATCCCTAAACGTGTTTTATAACGTGGGTCTGACTTTATCCATCACATAAGGTCTTTCACGAAAATACACCCTAGATTTTCCCCAAAGGAATGCTGAAAACGCTATGGTGGGAGGCGGTTCTGCTTAAAGGGGCATACTGCTCATTCACGGTCAAACTGAAACTTGGCTCCTTTCTTGCGGGCAGAGGTCCCCGGGCTCACTTGGCCCTTGGGGAATACTAGAATGGTTTTTCCTCAGGTGATACCTGTAGGGGCCTTTGTATTTGTGGGCACCTCTGCATGACTTTTTAAAGCAGCATAAATGTGAAAGTTTTCAAACTCTCCCGTATTGGTGACCACCCTCCCCAGCCTGCAGCCTGCCTGCCGGCCTGCCTGCGGCATGGGCTGCAGCCCAGGATGCGCTTCTCCGGAGGTGATGTGCACACACAGCTTGGGCAGCCTTGCCTCTGCCCCATCCGATGCTGTCTTTAGGTTGGTCGTTTTCACTCCGGCTGAGTAACCTGAACTTCTAGGAGGCAGTAGGTATTTCGCTGTTGAGCTGACATGAAAGTCTCCACTTTCCCGTAGGAGGTAGTGCCATCGGGATTCTGTCTGCTTCCTTTAGCAGTTTTCTAGATTTAGCATCACACATGTTGAGGACTGAGAATTAAGGCATTAAGGTGGGTAGCATTGCTTATAAAAAGTCATCAGCTACCTGTCTTTGGACATGTGGGTGGCTGAGGAGGGCAGGGATCAAAAAAGGACCTGCTGTTCTAAGCTGGAAATTCATGAGGTGACGGGAAGAGATTAAGCCTGTTCCCAAGAATCACTAATAAAAATCAGTTGGGTTGCTTGGACCGCGCGGGGCTGGGCTGTCCTGCTGACCCGCTCCCCCTGGTGGAAGTTTGGTAGAACACAGCCAAGTGGCCTTTGTTCACCAGAGGAAGGGAGTTGGCCTTTGGTTGACTTTGGGGTCACACAGAGGAGAAGGGCCCCGGAGTGAGGACGATCTGACCTTAGTATATTGACTTGAGTTTGGTTTCAGAATTCATTATGATTTTTTTCCCCACGTTCATCTTAATATATTCTACAGTTAAACTTTAAAATAATCCATGTTCTTTGGTAAAAAAAACTTAATACTTAAGAGAACCTAATGTACTGGGGCAAATAGGAAGTAACCAGAGATTAAGCCTCTTTTTAAAAATGTAGCTACCACAAAGCCAACAAATAAGAAACTGAGCGTTTTATATTTTTTTATTGCAGAGTTTATACCAAAATCCATTTACTAGACGCCCCCTATTGGAATGATTGAAGAAAATGAGCACCTGGCTTATGCTTAGAATGTGGCTCAACATTGGGGTGCTTAGCTCAGGATTCATCTTTAAACTGGTGAATAATTTTCAAAAATCATTGTCAGAAATTTTACAGTCACGCCACAATTAGTTGTTTTCCTTCTGAAGCCTCTTGAGATACCCAAACAGTGGCTGCCAAGGTACAGGCAGAACAAAACCAATGAAGCGATGTAAGGGGACGTGCCGTGCGGACACTGGTAGGAAAACCAAAGGCCCCCGGCAGGTGGCACCGCGGGAGGGGCGGCGTCAGCTCCTGTACCCCCGGCCCCAGGACCGCTTCAGTGGCAGAGACTCAAACCTGTGGCTCAGAGTGATGGGTGCGGGGAGACGTTGTACATGTAGCCACATCAAGCAAGGGTCCCGGTGAGGTGCTTGAGTCTGCTGGCTCACATACTGTGTGATCAGGGCTCCTGTGACGGGGGCACATCTCGTGTATGTGCTGTGAAACAGTGAGTTTCATCAGCCCAATTGGCTATTGGGACTGTAGTAAGCAGTAGGCCTCAGCAGACAGCTTCAGTGTCACAGCACACAGTGGAAAGGTCATTAAGCCCTTGTTGAACACGGAGGAGGAGGAGACTGCGATAAATACTACCGTGGGTGTGGTGTCGTCAGTGTTGCCACAGGGCCATCCCTCGAGAAGGTCTTAAAAACTGATGGACCGTCCGCATCTGGTTTTGCTGTGGAGAGTGGACAAGTAGGAACAGATCGAGAGTCAGGAAGCGCTTCCACTCCCCACGTGGGTCCTGGCAGCAGCCAGGGAGCCCCCCGGGTGTGCATGTCTCCTTTCGCCTTGGAGCTCCCCCGGAAAGTGGGCATCAGGCTAGAGCGTGACTGTAGCACATCGTGCGTGTTTGGGGCCATTTTGTCATCAGACACCATGTTTGGGGTGGTTCCCGTGTATGTTGCATGTTTGTATGATCTCTGCACTCAACAATAACTTTTACAGCTCAGCTTCACCCTCCCTGGCGCTGTGAATCTCTGGAATGCACCACCTCTCCCCTCTCCATTCCTTCTGTCTGTCTGCCCTCCGTCGCTCACACCTCCCTGGGGCCTGAGCATCGCTGTGTGTGGCAGGGGGGACGCTGGGCGCCACCGGTGGGCAGAAGAGGGGAGGGCAGGGGCTCCGAGGCGCAGCCAGCCTGTGGCCCCCACCTGTGTGTATGTGGAGGCTCTTTCTGCCTTCTATAAGTTAACCCCAGATTCATTTGGGCCCTCGAGGATGGATGTAAGGGGTCATAATCCGGGGCGGGTCCAGCTGAGATTCACGACAGAGCCCTTGGAAGGGGCATGCAAGGTGGCCTTTGGTCTCAACCCGTGCCCTGTGCTTGCTCCCACAGACAGCCAGTCAGACGCAGAGATCTCGGCCGCGGGGGGCGAAGTGCTGGACCTCACCTCTCGGGAGAGAGAGCATCCGTGGTCAGAGGGGGCCCCTGAGCCTGACCAGGTCAAAGAAGAGGCCCCTGTGGAGGAGCTGACTCGGGGAGCAGCCGAGCCCGTGGATGGGGAGGAGCGGGGAGCGGCGGAGAGCCCGGAGCCCGAGGAGAAGCACGTGGCGGGGAGGGACGGAGAGGAAGACGGCCCGGAGGACGACGCGGTCAGCAACAAGAGCCTGGACCTCAACCTTGCCAGCAAGCTGATGGGCTTCAAGCTGGCCGAGGGCGACGCCGATGCCGTGGGCGGCGGGGGCTCGGCCCAGCAGGACCAGAAGCACACCTGCGATGTCTGCGGCAAGAGCTTCAAGTTCGTCGGGACCCTGAGCCGCCACAGGAAGGCCCATGGCCGCGAGGTGCCCCGGGAGGAGAGCCCGCTTCCTCGGGAGGGCCAGGGCGAGAGGAGGGCGGCCGAGGGGTCCCTGCCTGTCCCCGCTGCTGCTGCTGCCCTGGAGCCAGAGGAGAAGCCCGAGCCCCCTGCCGAGGGGGAGGCCGTGTCAGAAGGCTCAGGAGAGAAACAGAGCGAGGAGGCGGAGGGTACCTCCGACGGGGAGGGCGCGGCCGAGAAGAAGTCCTCCGAGAAGAGTGACGATGACAAGAAGCCAAAGACGGACTCCTCCCGGAGTGTGTCCAGCAAGGCGGACAAGAGGAAGAAGGTCTGCACCGTGTGCAACAAGAGGTTCTGGTCTCTGCAGGACCTGACCCGGCACATGAGGTCCCACACGGGTAAGGGCAGGCCCGGCCCGGCCGCCGGGGCTTCTTTCAGGGAGGACGGGTCCCAGGCCTGCTGAGGGGCTGCCTGAGTCAGGAAGAAGCAGTAACAGAACCGCACCAGCGGCAGCAGCAGTGGATGGACAGCTTGTGCGTGTCCGTGTTAAGCCCTTAAACTAGGAATTGAACAGGCTGTTCTCGTAGCCCCTGAATGTACAGGCTACTGCAGGGAGGCAGTGGGGTGACCCTCGGCAGGGCTGTCCTTGGGAACACCGTGATCAGTCCCTCTGAGCCTCAGCCTTCTGTCTCTGGACCAGGGGTGGTGGCTGTCCTCTCATAAGCATCCAGGAGGATGTGTTGCTGGACATTTGCAGGCTATAGCCTGGGGGCAGACAGTAGGGACAGTGGTCTGTTTGGAGGCACCTGGGTTTGTCTTATTATTAGCCTTCAGGTGGGAGGTTGGCACACCACGGGAGTGGGGGGATTCTCCTGTCTTGGTTGCTGCACAGGTCTTTACTCCTGGAACTCACCAGCTGCCCCACAGCAGAGGCTATTGTTTAGTAGAACAAAGGCAACCTGGATACACTCATGAAGCCAAAAGATGCAAGCATGTCACCCCCCACCTCCTGCAAAACAACCCAGGCCCTGGTCTTGGTCTTGGCTTTCCTCCTACCTCCCAGCCAGCAGGGTGCACAGTCCTGCTCCCCACACACTGCCCCACCTCAGGCAACCAGCTCTGCTCTGGGCTGAGGGATTTGGGGGGCTCCGGGACTGGCTCCCAACAGAGAGATACTCTTGGGCTCCTGGCAGGTGGTGGGCTCAGCTGCTCACAGACCCGTGTTTGTGAGCCAGAGGGAAGCCCCAGCTGCTTCATATCAGAACACAGTGTGTCTCGTGCCTTTGACCTAGGAGGTGCCATTGCCCACAGGGCGCTCAGAAACGGTGCCTGTCTCTGTGGGAAGGACACTGCTGCTGTCCTCCCATGAGATTCTGGTTCCTGGATCAGTGTGTGAAAAACTTGGGTTGAGAGATGAAAGGAGAGAGAAACCGTGGCAGGCCCCTGGCATTTCTGCTTCCCTGTTTTGCCAGTTCAGACAAAAGGTTTCCCTGTGAAGGAGGGAGTCCTGGCCCTGCCACCACGCCTCTCGCCTTTCCTGGCTGCTTTTGTGTGGAGCTGAGAGGTGGCTCCTGGTGCTCTACCATTAACAGACATCATTTCTCTCCCTCACTGCTCAGGAGAAAGGCCGTACAAATGTCAGACCTGCGAGCGAACCTTCACCTTGAAGCACAGCCTGGTTCGCCATCAGCGTGTCCACCAGAAAGCCAGGCACGCCAAACATCACGGGAAGGACAGCGGGAAGGACAGCGACAAGGACGAGCGGGGCGAGGAGGATAGTGAGAGCGAGTCCATCCACAGTGGCAACAACCCCGTCTCAGAGAATGAGGCCGATTCAGCTCTGTTGGCCAGCAACCATGTGGCTGTCACCCGGAGCCGGAAGGAGAGCCTGGCCAAGGACGTCGGCCGCAGGGAGGACAGGGCTGCAGGTCGGACGGCTGGTGCCGGGCAGGCTGAAGCCGGCAGGAGTGCTCCCAAGACCGCTCCCATGGGCAGCCCCAAGGAGCAAGCACCTCAGGGTGACCATGATCCGGAGAGCCCGGTGGCCCTCACGCAAGACCTGCTGGAGCTGAACGGCAAGAGGCCCGCTCACCCCATCCTGTCCGCCGCCGACGGTGCCTCGCCACTGCTGGGGATGGAATGACGGCTCCTCTCCCCCAGCACACAGATGAAAGCCAGCAGAGCAAAGTGTCCTGAATCTATGTTTCGCGAGGCTTCCTCAGTGCCCTTCAGCTGCTGGAGAGTGCGCGTCGAGGAGGAGGGGGCCATCTCTCCATGCCACAGCCTTACCTGCCCGTGCAGGAGACCAGCGCGGACGATTCGAGTGCCTTAACTACTTACCGGTCCTTCAGTGTCGTCCTGGGTGTTGTGTTGTCCCAAAAAGACTTTTTAAAAACAAAGCAAATATTTTAATGAATTATTTGGAGAGGACCTTTTCATTTAAGCATTAACGTTGCCTTCTGTGTTGGTGTGTGTGAGCTTGTTCTTGCGAATCTGTGATAGTGACGTACTTTTTGTGAGCTGGAAACAGAAGAAAAAACATGCCCTTGGATACCCATAGCCAATAACTGGAAGAAAATGATGTGAATTTCATGTAAATTACCAGAGGAAATATGGATGAGATGCTCATTTCTGATAGACCTTTTTCTTTCTCTCTCTTTTTTTTGGTCTGCTATATGGCGGAGCTGTAATTTGGTCCTCGATGTTGCAGGATGTGGTGGATGGAGTTTTCCAATTTGGTTCAAGCCAAAACCAGGACAGATTCCAGCTTCGACCTCATACGTGTTTCCACTCTCAGCATTAGACATGCTGTTCCTATTCAAGTTTCAAGACGTTTTTTCTTAACTTAGAGAGAAGAGTTACCCTGGCAACTTAATCTATGGAGAACATGCACAGATGTCATGTGTCTGATTTCCCCCCTTTCAGTATATATATTATTAATATTATTATTATTTTTTTTTTAGCTCATCAGTTTGCTGGTCTCTGCAGTAAGCAGAAACAAATGGGCAATATTTGTCCTGGAGACCCGGGTCCCCCGGGTCCTCGTGTAAGCGTCTGCCCGCAGCTTTCCTTGCCGCCCCTGGGTGGGAGCTCTTCTACTGTACTTAGACAAGCCTTTCTTCCGTGACTGCAGAATCCAGCAGGGTCCCCCCGCACGCGGCCGGCCGAGGAGCAGCTCAGAGGGGGAGAGGGTGCATGCGCCCAGGGCTGTTGAGGAAGCCGGGCAGAGAGGAGACCGGCCACCCACCGGTCCCCTGCCAAACCCAGCCCAAGCCTTACCCGCGTGTGCTACTGTCATTTGCAAAGTGAGGAAATACTACTACTGGTAATAAAACTGCACATGCAAGATTGAAAACGAGAAGTAGATTTCTATTTACCTTCCTGCGATTTGGGATTGGTGCTTGAAGATAAATGTGTTGTTCCTAGTTTCTGAAATAACCTGAACCTCTGGGTACCAAAAGGCAGGGTGTTTTTTGTTTGTTTGTTTGTTTTTTTTGGGGGGGGGGTGTTGGTGAGCATACTATGCAGGCAATAGACTTCCCTCACTGTAGACGCCAGCAGTGAAAAGAAATATATCCTACTGTAGCTGAGCTCGGGCTCAGCATCCTGTCCTTCAGCTGGGACCTCTAGGACGCCCAGGGCCCAGTGCCGCTGGGCCTCCTGCTGCTCCACCACTCAGATCCTCATGCCTTGCCCTGGGGGAGCCCCTACGCCTGCCGCCCTCCCCGGCCCCTCCTCCCCCTCAGTGTAAGTGTGCAGACAGGCACACAGACCCCTCCTGTCCAGTTTCTGGTGGCCAAAACCCAACTACCCAGACTTCAAAGGAAGATATATATTCTTGAAATAATGGAAAGCGATGTCTTTGCATGTGAAAGGAAAAAAGTTGAGGTATATATAATTTTTAACTGTATTGGGGATGCATGAACTAGCTTCAGAATGGAGTTTCGTTTACTCCAGGCGAATGCACGTCAGAACCAGCCGTCCCCGTATCACTTTGAACCAGGTGTGATCCGCTCAGTTAAAGCCAGTTCATGCATCCCTTCCTTTTTTATGACGATTGTTGTTGTTTTCGTTGTTGCTGTTATTTGGGGTTTCTCGCGTTTTCTTTTTCTTTGCAACTCTCCACACGAAAGCTGCCCCCTTTGTGGAGAGGCCGTGACGTAACTACGCTGCAGCGAGACGCAGCTCGCCGCGATCACTATTGATTTAAAGCTTTATTTAGCCTCCCTCCGCCCCGTAGTCGGTAAGGTCTTGCCACATTTTATTAGCGAGGTTGAGAAATGTATTATTTGTTTGTTCTGCCCCCCCCAATATTAAACTGTGAAATTTGTGATTTGTTTAAACTCTGGGTGAATCGTAGCTTAGTCTGCATGTCCCGCTAATTTGTTTCTATACATTTTGTTTGATTCTTTCTCCTCTCAGGGCTTTTACAAAAAATATATATATAAGGATCTTCTAAAAAGTTTTTTTGAGGTGCAAGTTTTTCTCTTTGATTTGTGGACACAATGCTGAGATTCAATCACTACATGAAACTCCTGGCTGTGAAAACAAAACAGAAAACCCGGGGGGCTGCTCCCCGAGCGCCCGGGGGCTACATGGCAGTCGGATGGTTTTCGCCGCCCCTTCAACACTCTGTTCGCCTCTTTTCTCTCCTGTCTTTTCTTCAAGAAGGAAGTTGATCCCGGTGATTTCAGCCCGTGCATTAAACAGGAAACAATAATAAATGTGTAGAGTTCATATTTTTCTAAAGGGAACTTAAAAACTGCTGCTACAGGTTATGTACAAAACTGGTTTATGCCACATGAACAGAATCACAAGATTAGTTTTGGTACTTTCGTCCCTCTTTGTACTCGGTTGTATAATACTTCCAAATTCAAATGAGAAGAAAAGCTGTTCTGTATCAAACCATCTAAGCAATAAATGTTATATTTTAAAAACGGCCGATTGCTCGTCACACAGTTGTCCTGTGATTTGCTGTAATCCCATCCGTGTGTCCTGCTTCCCGGCAGCACCGGCATCCGTGGGACCCTGAAGGCGCCGTCACCCGGTGGCCCTTGGGCTCAGCTGCAGTTGTGGGGCCGCCTGGGGTGAGAGAGTGGAGAGTCAGGACAAGCGGCTGTGGTGGTGACTTAATCCCATGCACAGGTGGTCCCTCCCGGGGCCAGGGGCCGGCCCCACGGTTTAGTGACAGCTGAAGCCAGGAATTCTGTTTTCTGGGTAGCAGCTCCTGAGAAGTGCAGGTTGCCTTTTCCTTTTCTTGCCAGTTACAAGGGATAGAGTGGCCCCTGGGTGGGGGAGGACCCCCATAGTTCAAGGGAGGGGCCGTCTGAGCACACATCCCGAAGGTCTGTCGTTGAAGCAGCGAGGACACAGGGTCCTGAGTGTTCTCAGCTGGGAGTGGTTCTCAGACAACAATTTAAGGATCTGGGCTCCAGGGAAGCGAACTGCGGCGATGCTTCAGCACTAGGGTCCTGAGCGCCAGCTCGCAGCGGGACCAGGGCTGTGGTGCTCTCTGGGCCTGGAGGCTTCCCTGCCGGGGCCCTGCTGCCCCCCCCCCCACACACACACACACACACACAACTGCACACAGAACCGCGCACACCGCCCAGCGCGGGACGGGCTGTGCCGAGACGCCAGTGAGGGGTCCCCACTTGTGCTAAGGGAGACAACCTAAAAGCCCGGGGATGGTTGTCACGTAAACAAGCAGCTCGCAAGAGACAAGCCTCCCAACCTCTCCACTCACCGGGGAGGGTGCTGCTGGCTGCCAGTGGGCAACATTTCCAGCTGCCCACAGAAGTGGAATCATTTTCCTAACGGAACTTGGCCTGTCCCTGGTCCATGTGAAGAGCGAAGGGGGAGGGGAGTGCGATAGAAAAGGACCGGAGTTCGGGAGCACAGAGCTGAGGGAAACACCCTCCCCCCGCCGAAGCCTGCCATACTGCGCGCAGCCTGGGGTCCTCGGGAAACGCATGTAGGCGCTGAGAACATGGAATTTCTTTGCCTGTCAGCAGACCTGATGTTGAGCAGACCCATCGGTCTGGTGCCTCTCCCACTTCTGGGTGTGAGCTGACTGAGGCCTCGGGGAATGTGCCCAATCCCCCAGCCTCACTCCTCTCCTCCAACCCCAACCCTCTCCAACCCTGTCCTCCAACCCCAACCCTGTCCTCCAACCCCAACCCTCTCCTCCAACCCCAACCCTCTCCTCCAACCCCAACCCTCTCCTCCAACCCCAACCCTCTCCTCCAACCCCTCCACTCCAACCCCACTCCTCTCCCAGGGGTTCATCTCAGGTTCCCGCTGGCTGACACCCTGAGCTATGGAGAAAACCCAGGTCTCAGGCTGTGTCCAGTGTCCCAGGCAGTTTTACTGAAAGGAAGGGTGTCAGGCAGGTGCAGAGTGGAGACATTTTTTTTGCAGAACTTATTTATCAACTCCATCATTAAAAATAATGCATTTATTAGGTTAACAGATTGGGTTTAGTTTTCTCCTCCATGAGAGAATCCCAGTCATGCAGGGAACCTTCCTCTCGGAGCCACGCTGCCCTGGCCGGAGGCCGCTCCTCCCTCAGCCGTGTTCTCCACTGTGACCTTGATTCCCCGATTAGAGAGGGAAAATGGAGGGAGCTTGTGTTTGAAAATCAGTTCTACTTCTGTAGCTGTAAAAGCTCGGCTGTGGGTGTTCCAGTCTATTCCGGCCCAGCATCCGGTAACCTTGGTCACGCATCCCCCCAAAGCGTCTGCTGGGCAGCACTGTGCCAGGCACTGTCCTAGGCAGGGAGAAATACAGCAAGGAACCAAACATTTCTTCCCTGTGGAAGTTGGGTTTTAACAGTGGGAGGCAGTAAACTGACTAGATGGGGAAGACGCAGTTAGTGCAAGTCCAAGGAGGGGAGGAGGCATGAGGGGCAGGGCCTGGGAGGGACAGGCCGGATGACCAGCAAGGCCAAGGGACAACAAGCAGTGAGAAAGTCACCCACCCAGATGCCTGGGAGAACCCCGGAGAGAAAGCCCCTGGGAGCATGTTGGGCCCCGCAGAACATGGGCCAGAGTGGGGTGAGCAAGGGTGGAGTGATAACAGGTGAGGGTGAGGAGGGGCACCTGGCCGCGTAGTGACGGTGGGGTGATGGGGACAAGGGCCGATGCAGGGAGACCACCAAGAGGCAGCCACAGTAATGCAGGCGCGATGGCAGGGGCTTGGAGCAGCGATGGGTGAAGGGGCAGAGAAGAAGTTGAGTCGAGGGTGTATTTTCAAGGGGCGCCAACAGGCGTGCGTGACAGATACGAGAGCTACAGAGAAACCAAAGCCTGCGGAGTCCACCGAGAACACAGGCTCTGACGTGTGTGTGATGTTTGGCATTAACTTTTTTTTTAATGTTTTTATTGATTTTAGAGAGAGTGGAAGGGAGAGGAAGAGAAAAACATCTGTGTGAGAAACATGATCAGCTGCCTCCTGCACACCCCCTGCTGGGGATCGAGCCTGCAACCCAGGCACGTGCCACAACCCGGCATTGAACTGGTGACCTTTTGCCGCACGGAACCAGGGACAACACCCGATCAGCTGAGCCACACTGGACGAGGGGTCTTCCTGAGAATTAACCTTGATAGGATATATGTTGCCAAGGAAAAGAAAGGAAGAAATCCTTGGTCCTTTCTGTCCACCCCACAGGAGCCCCACATTGTGGCTGCTGACGTCCCTGTGACCGGGGACATGGGAGTCTCTCTTGGTGGGTCCCAAAGAAACAGCCACCGCCCCCAGTGTGGTTTCTGGGCTTGCCCACCACCCTCGCCTTTCCCCTTTCGATACCCACTGGCCTCTGGAGGCCACAAACCCGGCAGAGGCTCCAGGGCACACCGCAGGTGCCGCCAGCAGGCCACTCCCCAGCGATATGCAGGAGGGACCAGAGGCAGTGGGAGGGAAGCCTGGGGCACCTTGTCCTCTGCCTGAGGGGGAGGGAAAGCCCGAGGATTCCGACTCCCTGGCTGCAGCCTGTGGCTCTGCCTGAGCAAGATGAGCTTCGATGGGCTGAGTGGACACTTACGGCCCTGCCCTTGGCCTCCGATTGCCCTTTTCCAGTCGGACGGCAGGCAGACCAGCTTAGCGGTCGCCCGGTTGTGCCGATCACTCTCTCCACGTTTTCTTATTTGGCCCCTGCCCAAGGAGCCAAGGCCAGCAAGAGGTGGGACTGGGCTTGACCTTGACTTGCTTGACTCCAAGGTCAGTGCTCCTGACCAGTGAGGCGACCATCAGCACCTCTGTGCTTGAGGATTTAGGGCCAAGCAGGCCCTTTTATCACTGTCCCCTCTGCCCCCGGAAGCTGTTAAGGAGGAAGCACCTCTGTCCTGCCGCTGGTCTCCAGTTAGAACAGCACATGTTTATATTGTGTGTGCGCTAAAACACAGAACACAACATGTACCATCTTAGCCTTTTCCAGCGTACAGTTCACACGGGTGTACAATCATCACCACCATCCATCCATCACCGTATAAAGCTAAAAATCTGTCCTCATTAAACACGAACTCCTGTTCCCTGGCCCCCTGGCCCCACCGCTCTGCTCTGTCTCTGAGAGTTTCACTCCTCAAGGAACTTCATGTAAGTGGAGAGAACATCAACCCATGTTTGAGAGACGGAGAATTTAATCAGCACACTGAGAACCTGATGTGTGTGTGGGAGCTCCCGCGAGGGTCATGCCTGCAAGGGATTCACCCAGGCGCACCCCATCCCTGCCACAGCCGACGCACAGCCGGCCACCTGCCCTGCATTGGCCGGGTAGAGAAAGGGCCAGGAGCCAGGTCTCAAGGCAAGCTGGCTGCTGTGCAAGTCCCAGCTCTGCCTCTTATGCCTGATGAGTGGCCTTGTGCCTCAGTTTCCCCATTTCTAAGGCGGCGGTAACAACAGCGCCTGCCTCAGGATTGCCGTGCAGAGCAGATAAGTTAATGCACTTAAGGCGCTTGCACGGCACCTGCCAAGTGAGCATGGCGGGAGTGGTGGCATCTCTCAGACTGTTCTGTGGACCTCTCCCCGTGAGAGTGCCGCGTTTGCTGCCCCGGAGGCAGAGCTTCCACTGGACACGCTCACCCCACATATGCTGGGGGAACAGCCTGCGGAGAAGCTCCTGGGAGATGACTGAGCTCCAGTCACTGCCCTCAGGCCCCCCCTCCTCCCTGCTGACAGAGCCCCTGCTGGGTGAGGGGTGGAGACACGCAGGGAAGGGCGCTCTGCAGAGGGGGCCTGGGGTCCTGACCTGCCAGCACCACACTCAGTGCCCAAGATCCCAGGTCAGCCAGGGTCTTCAGGACACAGGTTTCTCCGACCCCTTGGCCCACCTGGCCTTCGCCAGTTTGACGGAGGGAGAGGGGTGGGCCAAGAGAGGCTTCCAGGAGGCTCCCACCTGCCCTGGGGGCACCTGCTCCACCGCCCACCCAGGGCTGGGGAAGTGCCCAGCCTGACAAAATGCTCCCTGCAAGCAAGGAGGGTCCCAGGGAACAGCCGCCCTCCTTTAGCTCTGTGCTTCAGTCACCTGCCCGCGCCCAGCCCCAGCCGCAGGGTGCCCAGGGCCCCGTTTGGGCCTTGAGCCCCGCTCCTCCCCACACCAGGCAGCATCCTAGGAAGCCCCGGTCTCAGCCCGCTCCCGGCGGGGGGCCTGGGAGGGCACGGGGTGGGGCAGCCCAGACCCGCGAGCCAGCGCTGCCGGGGATTCATGCCCGCGGCGGATGTGCGAGAAGTGGGGTCCAGAGCCCAGAGCCGGGTCCCCAAGAAGATGGCCCTGCAGGCACTGCAGAGACAGGGGCAGATTCTCATTTAAAAGAGAGAAACCAGCTTAGGAGGAGAAGTGCGAGCGAAGCCAGCTCGGCCTTTGCAATGTGTGGGCACGGAGCCCCCGCTTCGGCCACTGCCTGACCACAGCCACCCCGGGTCTCCAGCCTCCGCCACCGTTTCTGCACCCCTGCCCACCCG